GCGAGAGGCTACCAGCTCTCTTCTTCACTCCTCCCATAGGGGTCATCGTGGCATCTCCACTGCTTCCCACGGCCACCCGGTCAGCTCGTAGCAAGACTCAGAGCTCCGTAGCTGAGTCGGAGTGACCATGGGAGACAGGGAGAAAATGGGGACGCAAGGCACTTCCCGTTAGGTGGGGTGCCACGTTCCCGCCCAGCCTCAGCCATCCCCACTCAAATCCCTTTCTCTTCCGCCTCCCGCGCTAGCACCCCGAAGTTTGCAAAAAAAAAAACCTTACCCAGCTCGCCATGGAGCACACCCCCAAGACGCTCCCCATCTCCAAAACGTCGCAGGAACTGAAGATGCCAACAAAATGGAGACAGCGCCTCTCTCCTTTTTGGGGCTTATTTACGATCTACGAGCCACTTCCGGCGCAGAGCCTACCCTATCTTTACGTCACTTCCTCCGAGGTCTGGGTGGGGTGAAATAGGGAAGAGGTCGCACTGAGATTGCGCATGCGCAGCCGTGGAACTCGCGACGAGGTCCTTAATAGTGGGAGCTTCTAAATACCCCCAGTCGAAAGCTTCTGGCTAATACGAGGCTGAATATAGCTTTCCAAATTAAGGAGGCGATGTGAGAAAACTCACCTTGTTTTTTGCTTGAGTTTGAGTATTAGAGGATAGAGCTTAGGTGGTGGTTGATGTTTTGCCTTCCTCCGTCAGAGAGACTTCTCTTAACTGCTTTTGGGCGATTGTTTTTTTTGGTGTTCATCCGTCCTACCTGCACTTATTTCTCACTTTTCCACGTTTGCGTCTTTTTCCTCCACACTTAACATTCATAGTTTATTCCTGCATCGCCCTGCCTGGGACGTTTCATTGTATATTTCTATTCATTTGGGTGCTTCCAGTTCTTTGTATCACTCCTGTTTTCTATTGACACACATTTTAATTTCTTGTCCTGTTAAGATGTTACAAGAATTTTGCACATCCAAAAGATTTAAATTAGCAAGATAAGAAGAGATACTTATAAAAGCAAACATTGATTTTATTGAGACAGTTGGAACCCTTATTAGGTGATAATGGACATCTCCAGGACTTGTGTTCATTTAAAGCTCTAGTTCTTATTTTTAAAGTGATTGCTCCCTTGAGATATTCTGGGAGAAGAGTTTGGCAAACAGAAGTACCTTAAACTTGACATAGTCATTGTCAATAATAAGTCTTAGAATCTACAAAAATTGAATGGATGAAGGTGAGATGACACCTCGGAATCTAGGAGCACTGTGGCCATTAACTGATAGGTAGCAAAAGGGAAGGAATGGGATTGGAAAAAAGATAATGGGTGTAGTTTGGACATACTGAACTTGAAATCTCTGGAGTGCTACCCCTCAGCACTTGAAAATGCAAGCTTATAGCCAGCAGCCAGCGTGAGCGGCCAGCAGCCGCAGTGAGCNTTAATTAATCAATAAAAGAGCAAAAATCAGTTTCAGGCATACACACACTGTAGGTTCAGTTAATTAATCAATAAAAGAGACTAACCTTGTTCAGTTGTTCTTCCATTCCTGGTACTAACATTACACAAGCTACACACACTCCAACGAGCAAGAACAGTGCATAGATCAACCTTGTCACAGTGGAGTTGTTTCCACTGGGACAGCATCGGCACAGCAAACACGGGGCACTGCCACACAAACATGGTATCTGTGAAAACAGTATTAAAATCAGTATAGTTTAAAATGATGCAGTGAGAATTTACATTCTAGTCACTTGCAAAAGAAAAAGAAAGAACTGAAGTTAAAATAATTACCAAGGGAAAAAAGGTATTTGGTTTACATACATTATCTGTGAATTATAAAACAGATAATTTCTGGGTAAAGATGGAGCAAAGTCAAACATAAAAATGCTTGCCTCTGTATCAAGCAAAGTCAAATCAGTTAAAACAACAAAGGGAAAAAAATCAGCAGCAGCACCCCAAGTTTAGCAGGAACAAAGAAGTGGAATATTCATGATCATGATCATAAGCTCATCTTTAGCTGCTGCCCTTTAGCCTCCAGAAATCATACTGATGAATTCACAAAATTCTGAGACTTCTCAAATACTCCAGAGGAAGAAAATAAGTGAATTGCTATCCTTATCTTTTTCCTCTTCTGGCTTGGTGGTAGTGATAACAATGTAAACTACTACTAGAATTAGGCTAAACAGGATAAATGAACAACTGGGGCCAGGTAACTTTCTCCAATGGAACACCTTTTAAATTCAGGCCAAAATGGAATAAGTGACTAGACTTACCCTCATGCCTTAATCCATTAAAAAAGTTAATGAAACAATAGTTTTCAGACAATTAGCGATAGGCAATACAGGACAGCAATTTCTAAGAGAGGAAACAATGTGAGCTCTGACTGGCCCATCTTTCTGCCTAGGGCGAGTTTCCAGCACAGGGAGTGGATCCACTCCAGGGAGTAGAGGACAGCAGTCGGCCTGAGTTGAGACAGAGTTGGAAGTTCAGGGAAGCAAGGTAGCTTCATTAGGCAGAATCCTGGAGGGAAGAAAGCTACACAGAGTGAGCTCTGGGGGGGATCTGCAGAGGCTTCAACTTCAGCCTTCAGGAGAGCACTGATTGGTGCATACATTTGAATAAATTACCCAGGGAGGGAGGAGCTGGTATTTCCACCAGCCAGAGTGAAAAATCCTTGTAATCCACAAGGCACTGAGCAGAGTTATAAGTTATGTTCAGTACCAGGGGGAAAAAAATCAGCCATAAGACTAAAGGCCATGCCAGTCTCACTTTATTAAAGCCTACAAGGAAACACCAGAAAGATCAAATTCTCTTCAAGTAACTCACCTATGTCCAAGAACAAAGCCTAAGAATATTTTTTAAAATACAAGTATATCAAGGTAAAATTTTCACCTTTGTCAAATGTCAGTTGACTATATTTATTTGGGTCTATTTCTGGCTCTCTATTATGTTCCACTGATCTATTTGCCCATTCTTTTGTTACTACCACATGGTCTCGATTACTACTATAGCTTTATACTAAGTCTTGTAATTGAGTAGTGTCAATCTACTAACTTTGTTTTTCTTCAATATTGTGTTAGCCATTCCAGGTTTTTTGTCTCTCCATATAAACTTTAGAATAAGTTTGTCAATACCCACATAATAACTTGCTGGACTTTGATTAAGATTGCATTGAACCTATAGATATCATGTTTGAGAAACTGAAATCCTGACAGTATTGATTCTTCTTAATCCACGAACATAGAATATCTGTCCATTTATTTAGTTCTCTAACTTTGCCCATCAGAGTTTTGTAGTTTTCCTTGTATCGATCTGGTATATACTTTTGTTAGATTTATACCTAAGCATTTCATTTTGGGGGGATGCTAATGTAAATGGTATTGTATTTTTCATTTCAAGTTCCACTTTTTAATTGCTGATATACAGGAAAGTGATTTACTTTTGTGTATTAACCTTGTACACTACAACCTTGCTATAATTGCTTACTAGTTCCAGGAGCTTTTTCTCAATTCTTCTGGATATTCTATTGGGTTACTGGAAAAGTCATAATGCATGTTTGCAACAGATGGCGCTAGTTCATTTTTGGAAGTACTACAGTCATTCGCACCTATGTTATTGCTATCTCATTTGACAGCTGACAGTTATAGCTTCATTCTAAAAAAAAAATTGAGCAATTTGGTTGAGTTTTAGAGATTTTTACAACAAACTGAAGATAGCTCAAATTGTGCATTTTCGCCATATTTTACTGTTTTAGTTTCTTTCATAAAGGAAAGAACACGCGTCAAGC